GATGATCAATGGGGCTTAAAATGATGTGGGTAAAATTATGAAAAAGTTCAGTGTTGATGATTTGTGTATTATCAACCTCAACAATTCTATAATCCTAATAGCCTACGGGTATTCTCCATAGGCAATATTCCTCAAACCGCTTATATTTAAGTGCCGAAACACTCAACAGTGAGTGGCACCTATCTTCCGGGGGCAGCGCCAAGCCGCGGCATCCTCTTTTTTGCATGTATTAGGTTGTTGCAAAAATGATGTCCGTTTTTCTAGGCCTATTTTCTGAACAACTTTTTTCCTTCATAATTTCTTTTTCGATATGGATTTTGCATATTATTGGAAAGCTTTCTTCATGTACTTTCTAACAGTTGTAAAATTAGGCTTCTATCTCATCTGTGAGAATTTCACCAGCGTCTCACACGGCTGCACTCAAAATCGAAAATTCGTTGCTTTAACTCCCTTGGCCTCAAATCAGGCGCAAATGAACGGGTACTTTTGGAAACATAGCTACTGTATTGGCTGAACATTGCTTACCTATAGCATGTTTAACTAGATTTTTAAAAAATATGTGAACCGAGAAATCGACGCCCCGAAATAGATACTCGCTGCTGGCATTCTATGGGTCCAAAGTTTCTCATAAGTAGGGCAATCGCCGAAGCTTCGCTCATTTCTGTATGCCTGAGGTCAGGACATCTTTCCCACAATTTTTGCAAAAATGCATAGCTATTTAGTGTATGAAGAATTTCAAATTTCCATAGTCCGGGACTTTCTGGCCTACCATAAATAGGCTCGAAAATGTGAGCAATTTTGAATTTTATCTTTTCTTTTCGCAAGACACCTTCGTTGGAGTCTTTTCTAAGCAGAAGTACACTACTAGCTTGCGTCTACAAAATAAGCTAATTAGCAGCCAAAGGAACAAAACTTGAAGGGAATTGTAAGCTCTCAAAGACGAGGTTTCCAGAAGAAAAACTTTCGGTTTTTTGACGCATGGTTTTCTTCCCGTTTGTGATATCAGTAAATGCAGGTGCGCATCAGATTAAGAAAGGTTTACTGCTTCATATGGTTTTAGTTGCATTCAAAAATATGAAGACTGGACAAAGTTACAGCCTTTCAAAGTAAAACTCTGCAAAACGGACATTATTTTTGCAACAACCTAATATTTCCTGGACAGTTTGATTGTGCACGGGTCAGCTCCGCCTTGCTACCTATATAAGGAGTCCTTGATTGTATTATAGGTTGCTACCACGGTTCAGTACCGGGTTCGTCTTAATAAACTATCCAACGACTCCACTATCTACAACGAGACATTGGTTTCTACCAGACTCAGTGAGTTGAGACGTGGCAAATTTTTTTCAAGCTGGATAGGCTCGAACCATACAGAGGCCGCCTGGGTGGCTCAGAGAAAAGAGAGATACAATTCTCCATTTTCATTATTATTACACAATCTACCATCTGAACTAAAAAAATACATGCTAGTGTAGGGCCTCGTCCCAAATGTTCGAAGAACGAAAGGAAAGTGCTGGAACATTATCAACTTAAAAGCAAAAGGATAATGTAACATCACGAATGATAAAATACAGTTGCTGTAATTTCCTACTGCTGCATATAAGTAAGTTGCAATCAGGGCCCGGCACGACAGTCGCAAATGTCAAGCTGAAACTTGTTCGGAAAAAGGCATAAGGGTTATCTTAATTCCAGTCCATATGCACTACATATCTTAAAAGTTGCTACGTGTGACATGGATCGCTCGCGCGTTACCTCTAATTTGATTTTCTTTCCATGTAGTAGAAATGAATTGCCTCGTTTGCAGCACGAGATGTGACTCGCAATTCAATGTTCGAACGAACAAGGGTTAGGAGTAGCTTAGTGCGGAACATCGTGGAAAAATCATGGGAAAGGTGAGCTAGCTTTTTCCCGGAATTTTTTCATAGAGTGAAAAAATGACTCGTTTGCAAAGCGCAGGTAGCGACTGGCTCCAAATCGGGCGTATGTATGCACAATCGGGAGTAACAACAAAGTTTGAAAAGATATGAAAACTTACGTGAATGAAAGCCTACCCTTGATACATAGAACCACTGGTAAACTTCACTTTGAGCGCCATGGCATAACGCAGTCTTCACCTGAGCGAAGCTCCGGATTTGTTGATCATAACTAGATCGGGATGAATGTAAATGAAGCACTTATGGGGAAAAATGTTTTTGGACTATCCCAGCAAAAACGAGAAATTTCGTTTTTATACCTTTTTAGCGCTGAAAACTAGGCTTGTGGAAGTTTTTCCAGAATTAAGAACAACATTTCTCATTTTGCTTTTCCTTGGACTAGGATTGAGTTTCAGAAATTCACGAAAGCTGTTGGAGTTCTATAGAAACAAGAATTGCGCTCAAACTTGCGCAGAGATTCGCAATGCTACTAGAGTGATCTAAAAGATATGGGGCACCTTGATTTTGTAATTCTTCAAGATCTTTTTCTGATTAACTATGAACAAGCAATTTGAACGCTTTTGTATAAAGTGACCTTCGCAGGTTATCTTGACTGCGCCTTGCAGCACCTCACCGACATTCCTTCGGGCGGCGCTTCAAAGAAGTCAGACAGACTTTTTTGAACGCCATCCGAATTTTTGCTGCTGCATCTGAGAGTCCCTCGACGTATGGCATACCATTCGAAAGAGCTTTCCGAGCTCTTTCTAATGATTATTTGCATATCTAGTTGCCCATTATTTCATACGAAAAATGCACTTTATTCGAAAAAGTGCGGTGTTTAGCGCAGATTTTCAGACTAAAATTCATGTTTTGGTCCACAATTTTTTGAAAATGGGAAAAGTCGAATTATTTTGCATATATATGGATAGGGCGTAAAGAGCACTGTAAGAAAGCAACTGCTAAGGTTGAGCTTATTTGATTACCTTGATGAAAGAACAAGTAAGATGTCTTTTGATACTCAATGCTATATCTTCTGTTCAAAGCCTTGGGACTACCGAGCTATCGTGGATTTGGTGACAGTCCCCGCACCCATTGTTGCGCAGATATCTTTAGTAGGCTCACTTGTTCTACTGCGGCGCTGCTGCCAAAGTTCAAAATTACTTGGAGTGATGAGCTTTACTTTTAAGCGCTTATAAAAATAACGCCATGTGACAGTGCCCAACTATAGACCTCGATCAGAAGGTTTTGTTATGTACAAGCATCTGCCAAAACTTGGACTTCCAATTAGCTTTTCTGTTTGAGAACACTGCATTTATTTTCTAGATGCCCCATTGCTTTTGAATCACCCTAATAGTTGCGGTTTTGTCTCGTTAAATTGTGATGGACGTGTTACGGTACATAGGACAAAACAACTCCGCATGAAAACGTCAAGAGCCAGAATCTCTGATATAAACCATCGAAAACCGCTTTACAATCGTAAAACGTTTTCTTCATCAAAGTTAGCCTGTGCACCAGCTGGAAGGGTCTGATCTGAAATATTCCCGGCAATGATGGAGCGAGGGGAGGGGGAAGGGTCGCAAGATATCGTTAAAAAAGTATGGAAAACATTAGAAAAAGAAAGATATGCTGCTATGTGTACTCAGGGGTGTGGAGGCGAGAAAGTATAAAACAAAGCTTTTTTCGATAATGATTAAATTGTTTGCAGATGTGATTCTGAACTTTTCTCGAAAGAGTGGGCTTACAGCCTTGGAAAGAGTCAACTTTAACAGAACTCATTGATTTATTTCAACCATTCATCACTCCTCAAAGATCTCGGATTTCAACATTTTCTATACCAGAAGTTCTTTGCTTTTTTCCTCCTCTAAGCTGCCAAAGATAACGATCGGGTTTCTCGCATCTTCGGCGAGAACTCGATGGTATTAGAAAAAGATGGAATGGTAGACAAACAATCATATAAGCTTTCAACTTCGAATCAATAAATTCTTATCAAATTACTAGAAAAAACTATAATAAGCCTGATGTTTTGAACTCACCGCCATCTTCACGAACAAACGACCAGAGTCTTCAAGGATTGAAGAAACAGCAGAAAAAGGCTGCGACTGGTAATAATAAGTACTGAATCTTTGGCTTTTGATTACAGATCCAGGACGGTTATGCCCTTACATATATTGTGAACATACATAGTCCTCCCATTTGAGAAGAATCACGAATGCAGTGCAGGAAGAAATTTCCATTCTTTTTTGTATTTTAGGTTGCTCAGAACCCGACCGTGTTTCGCGGTTCGTTTCTGCACAGAAATAGAAAGTGGTGTGCAATCTATATATAAATAAAACCGAATCTCTGTAAATTTGTTCGTTTGTAAGTATGTGGCTTATGGACTCTTTTGTGTGTAAACCGATGGGGATAAAATTCGTCCCCCTATAGATAAGGCACGGCGCAGAAAATAGGCTACTTTTTGCGACGATTTGTTAGGCCCTTCAACCGATTTATTGATTTCTTTACTTACATCGAGGCTTCACCGACCATTGTTGGATCATTTCCCCATACTCATGTAAGTTGGGGGGGGGGGGGGGGTGGGGAGGTGAAGTTCATCTACATTTTTTGGCGAAAAGGATCCGGTCAAGTCAGCAAGGAAGACATCAGCTTTCGACGCAGATAAGAAGAAGGGCAGTAAGTTTCAATGCGTTTGGGGTCAAGTAGCCCAAATCCCTGGCGGGACCGGGGGCGCCATCTAGTTACGAATATAATATACTGAAAAAGCTGATTGCTTTGAACGAAACTTGAGACGCAGGCGGCTATTCTGTGATGAGTTCGCTTTCTCCTGCCCATTCCATTTTCCCATTCCTTCTGTTCCCTTTTTGTCCATAAGCTTCAACTGCGGGACAATTATGGCAAAGGTCGCCGAAACTACAGGATTGAAGGTATTTTCTGCGATAATCAGACTACAAAGAACTCTTTGATATCTGGACAAACAGCAATCACATGGGGGCCATCACTGTGATGGCGCCAACAGGTACTCCTTATCAGTGAGTTTGGTAAGTGGAATCGAATCATCGAATCGCTGCCAGACAGCAGTAAGCACTGCTTTCGATGCGATGTCGATCATTCATCGTTGGTCTAGTCCTGCACACACTTATTTTGTTAGTTGCTAGCAGTTCGTTGCGGTTGATTGAACCGCCGCGATTCCTTAGCAAGGTAGGTCAACTGATTACCAAAATCATCCCTCTTGTAGGCCACTTTTGGCAGAGTGGTAAAGTGGTAGATTTACTTTTGCTTAGTAATTCGGAAAATACTATTTTGTCACTAAAAAAGCCGCATTACAAGGTTTAAATGAGCATGAGTAAAATTGCTGAAAGTTGCAAAATAGTCTCTAGCAAGAGAGCGCATGTGCCTAATTTTATGGGGAACTAGATGGCAAACCCGGCTCCGCCCGGGGCCAAACTTTGCACACATACACTTCGGGGCAGGGAGCGTGTCATAGTCCACTTTTCGTTATCGATCGATGTCGATTTCACCGATTTTTTGCAAATTTTGAGCTAGGGGGCTGGGATTTTGCACAGGGGGGTAATCGAACATGCTGATCACCCCCGTGGGGGTGATCAGCATGTTCGATTACCCCCCTGTGCCAACTCCCAGCCCCGTAGCTCAAATTTTGCAAAAAATCGATAAAATCGATATCGATCGATAACGAAAAGTAGCCTATGACACGCTCCCTGCCCCGAAGTATATGTGTGCCAAGTTTGGTCCCGATCGGTTCAGAAATAAAAATTTCTATTCCGCACATACGTACAGACAGACATACATACATACAGACAGACAGACATTCAGCTTTATATATAAGATTTTGTAGTTTCTCAACAATTCAATGATTATACGCGCACAATACTCGTTTCGCTTTTGTGGTAGATACTTTTGTTTTTCTGACAAAAAAGAAACGAACAATTTCAATTTTCTTTGGCATGGTAAATTCACCCAGTAGGAATTGGTCTTCATACGAAACAGAAGCAAAAATCAATTTTTTTTATTGAAGCATGGCATATGTGGCCTTCACTTTATACACTTTGTATTTCGCATCGTGCTGAATCCTTCCAACTTGAATAAATTTTTTTGGATTTTATTGTACTTCTATCTTCATGTTGAAATATTCAACACTAAGTATTGAAACTCTTTTAATAGCTCACTTCATGATTTAAACTCCCAATTACCTTTCAATGGACTTAAGGTTTCAATTAAACTCTACCGTTGCCCAATTTGCTCAAAATGGATGCTTTTCTCTTCTCTTGCACTCAGCGTTCAGCCACTTTCCCTGAACTTTCCCCGTTCTCCTCAGCGGATACTTGAAAAATAATTATTATAGCTACGAAGGTTATTGCATTATCATACTTTGTTTTTTTTTGAATTTTATTTTTTCATGTAACCGATTGAATTACTTTGAGTATCCAACCATTTTACCCGCCGCTTTCCCACATCTGTTCGGTTTTTTTTGTTTCTAATATGACGGAAGATTTTCGTCAACCTCATTCCTTTTTCTATTCTCTATAAAGTGTACGAAAACTAGCTCACCAAATGCGAGAATGTTTACCGGACCCTTTTCGGCGCTTTCCGTTTGGAAAATGCTTTTATCAGTTTGATAAGGCCTTAACGGGATTGAAGCATCGGCTATTTATAACATATGGTGCATATGATTAGATTACACAGAGCAGGGCAATGACCTTTGCTGTCGGCTACACAATTTTTTTTACAAGTGATTAGAAAAGAAGAACTGAGTGTGTGGAGCTTGCATATTCACGAATTTTTGTCCTATATTATCTAGAACTAAGCTAGTTCACATAGTACCCTAATGAAATTTTTTATAATTTTAGAAATCATGTCGCTTTCCTGGTGATGGATGTAACTGTATCGTTCGCCTTCGAGGCGAGTGCTGTTGCAAAGGAAATGAAGTCACTTCATTGCCGACGAATCTCACGACCACTATCAAAGTCCTGTGAGTTTTTCTTAGTTATCAGAAAGTAAACATGGAGTTTTAGATGAGTCTTAGCTATTTTCTTATTTCGAGAAAGTAGTTGGAGAAAATATAAGTTTAGAGTTGAAAAATATTGTTGCTTATCTATCCATCCTTTTTGTCAGTGATAGGCTCTTGGAGACCACATGCTATAAATTCTTATCTCGTATTTCATTAGATTTTCTACACAGTTTTTTTCAAATTATTTCACCCTTATAATAATAGTCTTGTGATATGCCGATAAGCTGATTAGCTGGCAGACTTATGAAGTATGGTTTCTGTTGCAGTAAGAGCAACTAAAAACTAAAGAATCGTGCCAACGATGGTATATGGCAGACAATCAGTAAGTTAGTAAAGCATCGAAGTATTCCTTTGGAAATTACGTTCAAGATCTCGACGAAAAGATCACTTCGTCAGGTTATAACTATTGAAAACCTACGACAAAATTGCTATAAAAGGTGTGTTTTTCAATCATTCTCTTTTTTTTCCTACAAAACTACTGTGTTATGTAATTAATGATATTTTGGCAGCACATTACTAGGGTTTCCCGCGAATATTTTTTTCTCCGATTAGTAATTTGCGCAAATTGCAAAAGAGCGGTGGTTTTTGTAGAGTGAAGATTGAAGAGCGTAGAAAATTGGTATTTAATTCATGTACAGAAAAGTTACTGTAGCCTTCATAGAGGTGATATTGAAGGGGCTAAGAGGGTATGGTAATAAATCAATTTATCGGTTTAATCAATGAGGGTTTGAAAGTGATAGCTACAAATCATTATATCCAAGTATTCTCAATGTTAATCAAAAGCTTCTTACAGGGTCATGTTCAATGTCAGTATCACAGCGATGGAATCGGATTTTTTTGAGAACTATACGAATTTGGAGGAGATGTAAGCACTAATGCATTGATAAATCACCCTTGATAGATTATATTCGAATTTATTGCAACTTTCAATGTACCGGTTCTCGCTATCGCTATTCGAATGCTTTTAGTGAGATATACGAAACACCTCATCTACACTCCTTTGATGGCAATTCCTTGCAGCACCTGGTCCATCTGCGAAAATTGTGAGGTTTCTTTTGAAAACGCTTTCATAATTTTACTTTTGTAGGGCTGTACAGAGCGTTAGATCAGTTACAATAGGATCAAAATAAATCTATCCTTTGTTTGATGTTCGTCTTTTTCAGGGCTCGGCACGAGGTGGCTTACAAGCAAGCTGGGTATCGTTTTTGGGATGAAAAGCAAAGGGGGTTTCGTTTTTGTGACCGAAGACACACGCAAAATTGGTGATTTGGCGACGTTTTTTTTTAGTCGACGTTTCGTTTTTTGGAGGATTTTTAGGGAAAATGGTTGGGGGTCAAAGGGGACTTCGTAAAAATACCCAAAAGTCAAGGGGGACTTCGTTTTTCGCATTTTCATCTAGCCACCTCGTGCCGAGCCCTGGTCTTTTTTCGTTATTGAAAAACTGATAGTGCGCGGATATCATCGATAATGAGGAAGGATCGTAATTACGGAATGAATAGTGTAGACAATAACATTGATTTCTCAATTCTCTTCTATTTATTTTTAGCAAGCCAGCTCTGTGATAGCATTGGTAGGGACATAAATCATAATTCATTAATCATACTGCTAAAGTAAATAAGGGCACACACACATGAAGCCCATGTGATTGTTCTGATTTGGAACAGTTCTGATTTGTGTTGCTTATAATTAATCTCTTGTGATATAATATGCAATAAGACCGAAAGTAAACAGCTTTATAATTAGATATGAATACTGTAGCTACACTTTTTCAATCTTGCACAATCGCCATAGAGTTTGAAGGATTAGTAACTGTGATTTGAAATGCATTAATTCTAATCATGTGATTTTGCAGCTCAATAACGAGCTGCAGAAATTTGGAAGAAATCTCGGAAGTGCTGCTGCAGAAGAACTTGAAGATTCAGTCATTGTAGGTCACAGAAATTTCTCAAAAACTTCCATGATTAGTGTTCATAGAATTCTTCGAGATAATGGATTGAAACGTATGCCTAGCTTGGAAATGACAGAAGAGCATAAAATGGATGTTGAGTACTCTGCGTTGATACCACTGCTTAATAATCATTGCTACATAATACGCACCATCTAAATGCTATTACATTTTTCGTTTAGTCATCATGTTGGTATACTTATCGCTTTCATATACCTCCTATTTCGAGCGATATAACCGTCATTTAGAGAAAGTAATGATCAACGGTTCACATATATCGTTATCCTTCTCTTCAGTTCTCTCAAATCAGTCGATAGCTAATCATCCAAATCAGTTTTATGTTTTATTCCATCGGTAGTCAATCCTTTTTATTCTTCCTGTGAATTATTCGCACGGGTTCTTCTCAATTCCTATAATCGCTAAAAGATGATTGAAGATTGCTCAATCGACTTCTTCACAAGCGATCAATAGGACAAATTCATGTATTCGTCATGCTTTGTATAGGACGTATGACTTGTGAGTTCTCAGCGAGTATAGGAATTGAGAAGAACTCATGTGAGTAATTTACAGGAGATATAATAAGGATTGACTATCGATTCAGTCATCAAACTACGTACTCGAAAAAACATGTGAATATCTTTTACTATAAATTCATTACTCTTTCACTGATTCCTTCCATCCATTTACTCATCTTTCTTTGATCAATCCAATCACTTAAAGGCGGCGTCTCACCAAAACTTAGTTGCCGAGACTTTTGCATTTTGCATGCCTGTCGGACCCTGTCTAGCACTGTATGGGCTCAAAAGTTCCCAGAAAAAACGAAGTTCCCAGAAACCCCGTTTTCTGGAGACCCCGCGGAAGCAACGTGGACGAGTTGTACCTTCCAACTTCAGCCCCAGTCACAGTGGCAGCAATAGAGGGAAGGTGGATACCAAGTGGAGGGACATGTTCAAACGCGTAAGGAGGGAGACCGAAGGAATCGTACCAAGTCGCTCTCCGCGTACCACTTTGAGCGAATTTTTTTCAGCGTGGAGGGGGTCAAATTGAGTGGAACTTGTTACAATGGCCTATTTAGAGGTCCCTATAATAGAATATGTGCAGATCCGCGCGACCTCAAATTTGGTGAGACACTGCCTACAAGATTATATAAGTCGACCATCGAGCTTATTCTTACGTCCTATTCACTATTCATTAAATATACGACTCACTTTTATTCACGCTCTATTTGCTCGCTGATTAATTGTTGTTTTCATCTGCACTAATTTATGCGACATATATTCATACTGCTATATAACCCAGTGACACCATTTATCAAACAAAGCATACGGTTGTTCCCCGTTATTCTTTTCTTTCAGATACAGTACATCGGCGATGGTCGTGTGAGATCTGTCAGAGCGCGAAGTTTGCGTCTAAACAATAATAAAATCAAGGAAATAGCGGGGTACGCATTCGCAGGAAGCAATTTCTTCAAGCTGTAGGTTTCTAAATAATATCACGTATATGCAACCACCACTTTGAGTTTTAGATCCTTGAGCAACAACGAGGAACTCACTGCTCTTTCAACCGATGCCTTCAAGGGAATCACAGAAATCCATCACCTGTAAGATCCATTGAACATTTGCCATAATAGGAAACAGTGTTCCTTTTCAGAGATTTATCAGACACTTCCATCACCCAACTGCCAATCATTGGTTTGAAAAACCTCAAGACCTTGGCGCTCAGAAATGTGCCAACACTCAAGAAGCTGCCACCAGTGCTAAGCTTTACTCATCTAGAGACTGCACATTTTACGTATCCGCATCATTGTTGCTTATTTAAGGTATCTTAAAAAATTTGTTGATCTCCCCAAGTGTATTTGATAGAAAATTTTTTAGTACGTTGACGATGTTGTCGAGGGAGAAAATGGTTTGTACAAGCAAAATGCAAGGGAAATACATCATAGAATATGCAAGCAGAGAGAAGCGAGAAGATCAAGAAGACAGGCTAACAGCCTTTTTCAGGTTTTCATCTGAATTTCACTACTTCCTTCCTATGTACTTGACTGTCTAACAATCTCAAGTATTGTGTTAGATTCACTTTTGACTAAAGAAAACCTTAACATTTCAAAAAGCATAAAGTCAAACGAAAAAAGGAACACGTGCAAGTTTTAAGGCAGATTTTCACTCATGTGATTAGTGAATTTTGAGAAATAAGCAAAACGGGTAGCCCACGAGACCCCATTCTATTAGACTTCGTCCTGGGCGGAGGGGGGAGGGGGTTTCAAGTAACATAAATTTTATTAAGAAGTTAACGATCATTGTCTCCCTTCTTGACATTTACGACCACTAGATATTATAGGTGACGAATTCCTCTATTACCCCGTCAAACAGCGATCTTTGGTCAAACCTTTTCGAGCAATGGCTGAGAGATGCGGATGAGCTTCTCGATGATGATGATGATCCACCGGGTATGGTAACATTGACCAACATTTTGTGAAAAGATGACTCAAATTCTTATTTTAGCCTTTGATCCATCAGAAATCGGAGCGACTCGTTGTTTGGCGGTTGAGGAAGTTGCTACAGTGCAAGGGTTTTACCAGAATATCACTTGCACTCCTCAACCCGACGCTTTCAATCCATGTGAAAATATCGTAGGGTAAGAAGGGTCTCGAATGGAAAAATCGCAATTCAAGCCGTACACATAAAATCTTAGATCAAAGAAAAGTCTTGAATCAACTTAGGATGAAAATACTTGATTTTAAATGAATACATTAAGAAACAAAAAAACTGAAGTACAATTATTTTATTGATATTTTATGTCATTCTTTCCATTAGAAGGAAACATTTCAAGATTTTACAATAAAGCCAAAAATTAGGGATTGCGCTGTTTGGAGCATACAATACCGCTCACAAAGTATGCAAAATTTCCGTGAATACCGCGATATTCCCAAAATTCCGCGAAGTTCCTGGAATTTCGCGAAACTTCGCGAAATTCCGGAAAGTTCGCGGAATTTTCGGAATTTCGCGACATTTTCGGAATTTCGCGACATTTTCGCAATTTCGCGACATTTACGGAAATTTTGCACATTCTGTGAGCGGTATTGTATGTGTATTTCCTTCCACTCACTCCATATACAATACCGATCATAATTCGTCAAAAAAGTCGCCGGAGTGCGGCGCACTCCGCCGCACTCCGCCGCACTCCGCCACACTCCGACGCACTCTAGCGCACTCCGCCGCAGTCCGCCACACTCCGCCGCAGTCCGGCGACTTTTTTGACGAATTATGAGCGGTATTGTATGTAGAGCAGTCTGTTATATCCCCCTTTTTCCACACTGGTATCGTTGCGCTCTTGTAACAATCGTTGGGCATCTTCTTGCATTCTACAATACCATTCACATAACTTGAAAAATTTCCGTGAATGTCGCGAAATTCCGAAAATTCCGCGGAATTTTCGGAATTTTGCGATATTCAGGAAATTTTGCACATTCTGTGAGCGGTATTGTACTCGACGTGCTAACAACATTTCTTACATTGTTTTGCTGCTGGTAGCACATTGTAGGATAGAATATCTGCCAAATTACACGACTTTCGAATTTGAAAGAGAATTCATGAGAAGGCGATTTTGTAACATCATAATCTGACGAACAATTCAAATAAAGATCTGTGCTAAGCATGGTCCGATAGAGGTGTTCACAAAGTTTTCAACTCACAAAAATATGCAGACAATTTCCGCAACAGGTAGGGGGAAAAGTGCAGGCGAAGTTGCGATCTTGATTGGTTCAGCTACTTCTATCTCACTTTAGCTTTACTGTAAGACTCTCTAGTGCAAAATAAATGGGATTTTCGTAAAGATCGGGACCAAGAACCACTATGAGTGAAGTTTGCGGTCAATCCGAAAACCTCAATATTTTGACCAAATTTTGCGCCGAGGCCAAGAGTGAGGAGCGATCGCGCTATATCAATGTGTATTGCTTCTAAGAAGCTGGAAAAAATATGTAATGTATAAGTATGAAACAGGTGTCTAACGTGATTTTTGGGGGAATTACGGGGCAACTTTGGGAGAGCCGATTTTACGTCTTGAGCATGCATGTTGGGGGGCTAATAACTCTGCGAATATTACAGCTACGGGGCTGGGGTTTGTTTTATTCGACAGATCTCTGAAAATATGATTTTTAGAGAGAAGGTCGTAGAATAACAAATTTCCATTAAAAGTGCCTAATTGACAGCCGAACTTGGGAAATCTGTCAACAAGGGCGACTTCGGCGCCTTATATCTCTACGAGTTGCAGGGTTGGGGTAATATCATGTGGTCATTGATATGCACTTTTGATAGCTCTATTTTTTTAGTGGTAGATCATGGCTGTAGCTCCACCGTAGGAGGCGCTATATAAGGGCGATGATGCATATTTTGAATTTTATCTCCGTGGAGAGTAGGGATAACACGCTAGGATGGCCATTCTTCAATTTGAATTCGAGGGGGACAGCACATATAAATCGGAGAAAATGCAGGGGCTCCGCCTGTGGGAGCCCATCTATAAACCTTCCCGGACGTTTTTTTTAGTTCAGGGTCTCGCAATTTCTCCTCTTTCTCCCCCCTCATTTTCCCCCTCTCTTTATTTGTGCAGCGCGTGTGATAGTTACCCGCGGCCATCTGGACCTGGTTAGGGGGCTGAAACCGGCTGGAAAGGGGTAAATAAGCTTAGAAAAACGCGATTTTCGCTTATTTTCCCTTATTTTTTCTTAATTTTTTTTATTTTCTTCAATTTCGATCGTGATGTGGGGGTATAAAGTGGGCGGAGCTTGCTTGGAGGAGATTCAGCTGTATGAAAGCACTGGAAATGAGCTTATTATGGAGTTTTTCGAATTTTTCGCTTAGTTTTTCGATAATTTTACCGATTTCCGAAATCTCGAAACCTGCAGAATATCGATTTTATCGATTTTTGTCAATTTTCGGGATTTTGCAACCTTCAAAATATCGATTTTATCAATTTTGCCGATTTTTGGGATATCGATTTTCGTCAATTTCTGGGATTTCGCAACCTTCAAAATATCGATTTTATCGATTTTTTGTCAATTTTCGGTATTTCGAAACCTCCAGGATATCGATTTTCCCGATTTTTGTCGATTTCCGGGATTTTACAGCCCTCAGAAGACCGATTCTATCTATTTTTGAGGATTTGGTGATTCGTCAACCTCCAAAATATCGATTTTTCGCTTTTTAGCTGTGAACTGTAAGCCCCGCCCACTTATGATATTACTATACAATACCGCTCACAAAGTATGCAAAATTTCCGTGAATACCGCGAAATTCCCAAAATTCCGCGAAATTCCGGAAAGTTCGCGGAATTTTCGGAATTTCGCGACATTTTCGGAATTTCGCGACATTTACGGAAATTTTGCACATTCTGTGAGCGGTATTGTACATTTTTCCAATTTTGTAAAAGCAATTTTCACTTTTGGGGAAAAGCTTCATAAATTACCATCCTATTAGTAACAGAATAAACTTTGCTCAACTTCTAAATTTAGAATTGGCATCCTTCGTCGCGCCATTTGGCCTGTTTGCTCAGCAGCTATTGTTGGCAATGTTCTGGTTTGGGTGATACTAGCGTTGGCTTTTGAGAAACGAATGCGGGTTCACTATTTGTTTATGATAAATTTGGCTATAGCTGATTTCATAACTGGTAATTTCAATGGAGAAAATATGAAAAAAAGCAAATAGCCCAAGTTTAGGCGTATATCTCGCTGTACTTGCTGTGCAAGATGTTCTTACTGGTGACGAGTACTACAGACATGCCGTTGGGTGGCAGACTGGATGGGGTAAACTTTATTCTTTCTTTAGCTAGCAGGACAATTGAAGCTATCATTTTAGGATGCGGAATAGCTGGTTTCTTAGCGGTGTTTTCCTGCGAACTCAGTATTATTTCAATGTTCTTTATCGCTTTTGAAATGGCTTATAACACCAGGTGAGTAAAGGGAGAATCCAGAGCAAGAATTTCCTCTTGTTGCTGATTAAGTTTCTTGCATATGACTAGAAAAAGCTGTAGAACTTCCTGCTTCTTCTAGGGGAGGAAGATCAACATAAAAATAAGCGGTATCTTTCTTTCACATGGTTTTTGGCACTTCATTTCTATAGCTTTTTCTTCATTTCATTAAAATCTGAATCCGGCGTTTTGTCTTTCACACTTTGGAGGTGCATAAGTGCACGCAAAGCTTTTACAAACAATTTTCATACCACAAGGAAGGGAATGAAACGGGTTTTACGGTCGCAAATTCTCCAAATTCTCAAAACAATCTAAATGATCTCCTTTACAGAAATGCTTTTTATGGACAACGATTGCGCTTTTCTGCTGCTCTAGGTATGATGGCAGGAGGATGGATATTTGCTTTGACCATAGCCACTCTTCCTCTAATTGGAGTCTCAAGCTACTCTACAGCTAGTATCTGTCTCCCATTGAGACTTCACAACATTGCGGACAGGGTACTTTTCTTTTTCTCTAAAATGGATGGAAGTTCCAAAACATTGAAATAAATGAAAACTCAGAATCAAACAAAGTATCTTTCCTTTACCAACTCTTTCTAAGGAACTCATCTCAAAGTGGCAGAAGCGTATACTCAGAAAAATGACCGGAACTTCCGCAGAGCGTTTGCGGAAGTTCCGCCGATTCAGTTGCTGAATTTCCGTGAACGTGCTGCGGAAGTTCCGAAATGAGGTCCTACGGAAGTTCCGAACAATGCGAAATACAACAGCAGGAAATACCTAAGCAAGATTTGAACCTCACTCTATTGACTGCGAGGCTCATTTACTACCCTCTGCACTACGGATGACATGTTCGGTAATGCACTCTAGTTGTTGGCGAGGCAACATCACACGGACAACACATTCAAAGTCCTGCGGGAGTTCTGGCAGGCCAAAGTGTTGCGGAACCTCTGGCATTTTGCGGAATTTCCGCAGGATTTTGAACAAGGTCCTGCGGAAGTTCCCATTTTCAACGTTTCCACTTTTGCAATAGCGAACAAAGTCCTGCGGAACTTCTGCAAATTTGGCTTTTGCTGCGGAAGTTTCGGCAATTTGTCTGAGTAGTCTAGCAGATTTAACAGTCAAGTGTGCTCTTATGTTGACGGTACCAAGTGCGTAAAAATGGCAGCAGAGGTACATTTCCAAGTTCGCGTTCCATGGCCATTCTTTACGGTCAAACGTTGTCATTACCGCACTAACACTATATTCACTCCATATTAACCGCACCGCACTATAAACTAATCCCATTTTCTTTTTTAGGCGTATCTTATCTTCTTCCTGTTATTTAATCTATTCGCTTTTCTGGCTATGGTGATCTGCTACGGGTTTTTGATGTTCATGTTAAAGGTATACATGACTATCGTCATAGTACTGTAAAAGGAATGAATGTCTGTTTAGGACCCAAGTACGCCATCCAGAGCTGAAGATAATCTAATTATAAAGAAAATGGTGTGGCTAGTAGGCACCGACTTTCTGTGCTGGTTTCCAACATTGTTTTTTGGTAATACGACCAGTTTTTTCGTTCATGATACCAATCTTTTTATTATAGGACTTTCCGCCGCCATGAGCCATCCTTTGATCTCAATTAGTAGCGCCAAAATATTTCTTGTGTTCTTCTTTCCAATAAATGCCTCTGCAAATCCGTTTCTATACGTGTTTTTCACGAAGGTAAGCGCAAAAATTGTTATAAAATGGTCTTAATTCTTTTGAATTTAGATTATCCAAAGAAATGTGAAAACAAAAGCTTTGCCGGTACTGAGGCGAATTACAAGTACATCTGGTGTAGCTCTCAAGTAAGTTCCAAAGTATTTGTTAAAATATGCATAAAGTAATCGTTAAATCATACAATTTTATAAAATGTAAAAAAACCTCTATATGCTCGTTTTGTAACCAGAGAATATTGATATTACAGCACGCTGTCCAACTTTTACCATTCACAACCACCAGGAAAGCGAGGAGAGGTATTTTAGTCGGACAAAATTCTGACAGAACTTTATTTTGTTAACATAAATTCAACTCAGGTGGGCAGCCCTACTCGCTTGGGTGTCAGTCAGACGACTTTGGTCAGCACGACTCCTCGTGGCTCTATCCGCTCAAGTATGCCCACTATGGACACATACATGTGCGATACACCGAGGAGGTAAAGACTTTGTATTTTCGAGAAAAAAAAGCTTCCAGTTCCTAAAACGCGACACCGGAGGATCACGATCGTATCATTAAAACTCTAGACTCTACGAAAATTTACAACTAAAGACCCAGATGCCCAATCGGTTTACGCATTGCGGCCAGAGGCAATATCATTAGTGGGGAAAATTCCAGGATAGTCATAAAAAATTTTCGAAATCTGGGAGAGCCTAAAATCGTACGATCAATATTTTGTATATGTTTAATAGGGCTTGGGACACATGTCACTTAACCTCATCAAAAGCCACTACATTCCTTCGATTTTTTCGCTGTGCACTTGAGGCTAAATATAGATGTACAAAGATTTTGGCCATGTTCCATACCAAAACCATCGAAGTAAGCAAGCAAGTACTCTTTTTCTACGAGTACTATTATGATTGATTTACTGGACTATCTATTTGACCTTTTACTCTAATGCTGTCATAATCTTATCGTTTTCAATTGTGGTAAATAATTTGCGTTGCTGACGTCGCATTCCCGGAAATATTTATCAAATCTCTTTGAAAAACTAGTCTAGGTGAATGACGGCCATTGACGTTCGCAAAATACAGCTACGATTGAACTATGTTTGAAAATTGGTTGTTTCAGGTCGACTCCGAGAGTATCATTTCAAGACAATGTCTCCTATTGTTCGCGTCCATCCTCAGACTCAGCACGTCAATCATTTGGCTGGCCCAAAAAGGTTTCCTTCATTCCTGAGGTAATCTTCACCTTTGACTGACTCGAACAAAATAGATAGTGCAGTAATTTCTTCAGGTTTCTGATTTGTCTGAGCACTCCAGCGAAAGTCAGCATGAACATATACCAACACAAACATTACCAGCAAGAACAGAGGTTTGTGGTGGCAATTATTATATTCTAATCTCTAATTTCTATTTCATACCCTTCGAAAAAATCTTTTGATAATTCCTCCCACACTAAAATAAATTTCTTCCAAAATATCTAGTTTGAGCAGTTACCAGATATGTATATTCTTGTGCACTTCAGAGCCAACGCTTCGTTTTGAACTTGAACCGCTTCGGTTTTGGTCGTCTCCGACAAACCAGTGGAGGTACTGATTCAGGAAGAGGCAGTCTTGCTTCTGTGTTGACGGTAAGTATTTATACCTCCTAAGAAATTATTTTGCACTTGGCATTACACCCACAGTTTCTGGAGAAGGGATGCGATTCTCAGACTTTTACTCCTAAATCCACTTTCCCATCCTGCCCAGCTTCGCATGCCCTAATGATCAATTTTTTTTACGTTGTGCTCAACTCAACTGGGCGGTTCTTTTCTCAAATTTGCAAAATTTGGGCTTACCCTAATTTATGTTACGAGAATATGCTTGATCTTGGAATAATCGTAAAGTAATTGCTGAAAACAAACAAGTCGAGTTTAAGTTTACGTATGGATCACAGAAGTTAGCTAAATGTACAACTAACAAAATTCTTCCAATTTAAGCAACCCCCTCCACTCGAAAATGTGCCGCGAAATTTTTGCAGCTATTCCACATTAATTTCCAAACATGCAAGTGACTCGCTCACTTCAAATTAAATTAATGACTTTCAAAATTCTATAAAACTCATAATCGCTTCGTTAAGATTTTTCGGGAGTGTGGCTGCTGGCACAAAAGAAAGCCAAAATTTTGGAAAGTATACCGGAATGCTTTCGAAGAGCTGACGCCATGCTCCTTCACTCAATAAACTTGTTGATTCCCCCCCCCCCCCCCCGTCTATCACCCGCGTTCGAAAGTCGTACCGAGAGTGGTGTAATGCGACAGGCTGCAACGAGTTTTGAGTCTCTCTTTTTTTCTGCAGAAACTGTGGGAAGCATATCCATACGAGGAGCCTCCAAATTTCCCTGTAGGAAACTAGCTGTTTAGTTCCCTGTGAGCTTTGCTGTGGCTTTGTTCCAGCGCGATACCGGAGAGCGCACATCGCTGACAAGCCGTGACGGTGCCGCCAGTGACACGGACGCTGGTGTCACGACGAAGTTCATATTTCCACCGTCACCACCGTCAACGTCATCGGAATCAAACTCAGTCAGTTCACGGCGATTGTCATGGATGCCACGACTGCTTAGCCGACAACGAGCGAATTCGTTGATCAAACCACAGTTGGTCGTGTCCGACTACACGGACGAAGAGACGAAGCTATAACTGTTAATCAAACAGCCTTGATCTTCATATGAATTTTGAATCTCACCTCACCTAGTCAAAAAATTTTGCTGTGATTCTGGACTGATTTTTCATTTGAATCGGTCACTGTTACATTGTACCCTAATTTCACGCGTATAAGGCGCACTTTTTCGAATTTTCAAGCGAGCCTCACCGAAAAGAAATCCTTACATTGCACGATTCTCTCAAGCAATATACAGCAAGTTATAGAGTCCTTTGATTGTAAGGTCCTTTGGCGTGTCTAGGTTGGTCGATTTTGGGAAGAAAATCCCCGCGCCTTACACGCGTGAAATTAGGGTAACTTTCGTTATGGATCTCCGAAACGTCCCTTGAGACTAATATTTAGTCTGAATATGAGTTCCAGTATTTTATTGGTTTTTCTTGGAATTCAAACAACAACTTTCTCTGTCGTATTCCATTGAGCAAAATTATCCCTTTTTGCATGTATAGAACCTGATTTTCAACAGTGTCAGGTTTTTCTTTCAATCACTCACTGCCATAAATTTTCCATAATTATCCCAGATTATCAAATGTTAATGCTCCTACTGTTACTTACAGATATGAGTTTACTCATCGTTAGAAATTTTAAAGATCTTCTTCTGCCGTTGTACCGGTTGTTCTGTATTTGTGCCTGAGAAGTCTTATCCACAAACATGCTGAAGTCACTTGCTCAAGCCAAAAATCATCATTTTTCTGGACGTTGAGAGCCAAAAAGCCGTACATCAATATCAAGACCTCATCAATCTACCACAAACATTAAGTATCTAAGCGCTGCATCCATTTGATTTAGCAAGGTTATAAATAAAAGAAATTGTATCTTGGACTTGAATAATCGGCTCAAATTGGTTAAGCGATTCATGAATGCTAAGTCGTGTTTACCAACGATGCATTTTTTTCAATGCGTGAGTAGAATGTTCTTTATCTACTTACGATTTTCTTGTATGTATGTATGTACATGAAATGTGTCGGGTTGTACTTGCTCAAACTGTTCGAAATAAAGTCTACGAAATCCAAACTTGACAACTCGGGAACATTGGGTGGACAGGATTAGCGGACCAAGAGGAGGGGCCTAACATGAGCTAACAATTGAGTGACTTGTTTTCATGTGTTATCAATACAAATTCCTCGAAGATTTTTTAAAATTTTCAAATTTACAAATTGGCCTTGCAAAAAAGTTTTTTTGGGGCGTTGCCGTGGCTGCCGCCCAACCTCCTTTTTTTGAGATTTTATGGTTGTTTCGCAAACTGCGGAGAGCACCATTCTTTCCCGGAAGCCCCCCCCCCCTGGCTGCTGACAGACGGTAATTACACATCTTACAGTTACTTACATCAAGAAGCAATGATGTCTAGATTAACAAACATGCATCGAGTTATCTTACTTACAAAGCAGACAACTTTGAAATTCGAAGCTTGTTTTTGATACTTGTTTATCATGTTGCAAGTAATTCATCAGCGATGACTAGTTTATAAAATGTTGAGACTCGTCCCTCTTTTGCTGATGTTCAACGATGACTACTTCGATGCGTTTATGCGCATCATAACGTTGCGGTTTTGGATCGTTTTCGGCTCTACAGGATGTAGCGTTTGAGGAAGCCATGCTCTATAATCTCGTCATTCTACATCTCCTGACACTTACTCACTTATTTCTTCCTTTCACACCTTATTTCTCGCTTTTTCTTTTCTCAGTAGTACATACTGGGCTCCCCCTATCAAATCCTTAACAGATGTTCGATTTCTTTCTTCCTGCAAATAACTTTGCTGTATGGGGTGTGTGCGCGTCAGTATACAAGGGGTGTTAAAGGCAGCGTCCAGCCAAACCTGGACAGATGAGGATCAACAGAGGGATAGTGCACTCGCGATTAAGGTAATTGTCCCGAACCAGGCTTCGCTGCAGTATTTGGCGGACAATTTGCATGCGTTCGCCTAATATTGTTACTCACCGCCTTCGTGATGGGCCCCGCGCATAGCCTGCGACCCGATACAGGTCGCCCTCAAACACGGATAGGTAATGGGAGGTGCTTGGATGCTGCCTTTGAGGGTCCTTCATGCCGCGTCGGCAATCGCCGCTAGCCGCTTTTGCGCACTATCCCAGTAACGAGCCTCGAAATTGAAACCACGAATCTTGCTCAAACCTGTAGTGAAGTTATTTGACACGCTGATTACGAACAGAAGAATTTTTTTTGGAAAGTTTTGGAAAGACTTTCTATCTTGGCGGCTAGTGGCGGTTGCCGGCGCGGTATTAACACGTTGACGACGGTGGCACGCAATGGTGCGCGACAGGCAGTCTGTCCCTGTGGACGATGGCGCGCAATGGTGAGTGACACCCAAAACATCACTTCTATTGTGTACAATGGTTCCGATTTGTGTTCACATAATCAACTTAGGCTTAGAAGTATTTTATGTTGGCCCCGCCCCCTTTTTGGCAAACTCCGCCCATTCCATTGCCCCCTACAAAAAACTTTTTTCGTCCTCAAATCGCATAGAAAAGCTCGTAGATGACTGAAGAACCTCAAATATTCTTAATTTTGACCCCGCCCCCTAATTCAGGCTCCACCCCCTCAGTGGCAAGCTCCACCCACTTTTCAAAAATGCCGGAATTTATATGAATTCATTGATTTTGAGCAATTTCCAGCATTTTTGAAAAGTGCGCGGGGCTTGCCAAAAGTGTGAAAATGCCCGGAAACGGTTCGTCCACAAGGACAGACCTTCAAAAAATGTCTCGTCGTCAACGTGTTAAGGCACTCTAACTTGTAAACACTGGCTTCCTGGATCATTAGCATGTAAATGGCTAAAACATTATAGTGCATTGCCTTTGAAGCACGAAAACTTATACACCCCAAGAGGTACTGCAGAAGAAGGCGTAGATCAAGACAACAAGCATTCAGTATCTTGAAAAGAACCACAGTGAGCTTTGAAACCAGATTTATAACTCGCTCAAATGTTTTGGCAAACGAATCTTGAACAAAAAATGGATGAACGAACATCTCCTTTTCAATCAATTAACATAATACCCTTCATGGTGTTAGGGTGGAATGTACCGCGAGGACATCTTATATACAGTGCGTTTCATAACTATACGACACCCCCCAAAACTTGGGATTTCCGGATTTACAAAAAAGATCGAGTAATCCAATCAGTGCCTGTATGATCCACATATGGTGCTGAATAAAATGACATCTCAATCAATATGTCTACTCACTTGCTTTTCTACATGTGAGACATGTTTAATCTTCCACTGTTTCATAACTATACGACACCTTTGAGCAAAGCACTTTTCCAGCGAAAAGAATACGCAAAACGTGGTTTTAATAACTAATCGGGCTACAGGGCTCTTTTACCCACTTCGCCAAGTCTATGGGAGATGCTTCTAATAAATTCAAGCATGTCTTCGGTTCACTGTTGTCACATGCGTACATAACGAACTGCTCCAACTTTTCCAATGCCTCATACTGCGCGTATCTGCTCAGAAAAGCTGTGTCATAATCTTCAAAGATTTTCTGAAGAATCTCAGACAAGACAGTATGGTCACCTTTACAGAAGCTGCTCGCGAGCTAGCGGAAAATGGCAGTAAGTGACCCGCGTGCATGTCAATGCGTTGTGCTGCCGAAACGTAGTACCGTCACCGGCGCTGCTGGAGGGAGAACAGTCGTGGGCTTTCCAGTACTTCTTGGGAAACTGCGCGTAAATTTTTTCACCGAAATTTAGGCTTTTGAACCATGCAAAGTGCCCCCCAGATTATAGAGTACCCTCCGCTAAACTTTCTCTTGCTAAAATGATGTGGGCTTTGCTTACGTCCGGCCAGTCGGTCCTTTACCAGTCCAAACCAAATTTTCTGATCAGATTACACTACCAAATCACTGGCTCATACTTTCTGTCATATTCTTAACGAAGCGCCTGTAACAGCACTACTTTTCGCAGTAGCACAACGCCTATAAACATGCACGCGGGCCACTTACTGCCGCTCTTCGCCAGCATCGTGAACAGCTCCTGTAAAGGTGACCATACTGTCTTGTCTGAAATCCTTCAGAAAGTCTCTGAAGATTACTGGCACGCTTTTCTGAGCACATACGCGCAGTATGAGGCATTGGAAAAGTTGGAGCAGTTCGTTATGAACGCATGTGACAACAGTGAACCGAAGACATGCTTGAATTTATTAGAAGCATTTCCCATAGACTTGGCGAAGTGGGTAAAAGACCCGGTGGCCCGATTAGTTATGAAAACCGCGTTTTGCGTATTCTTTTCCCTGGAAAAAGTGCTTTGCTCAAAGGTGTCGTATAGTTATGAAACAGTGGAAGATTAGACATGTCTCTACATGTAGAAAAGCAAGTGAGTAAACATATTGATTGAGATATCATTTTATTTAATACCATATGTGGATCACACATGCACAGACTAGAGTAATCGATCTTTTCTGTAAATCCAGAAAATCCACATTTCGGGTTTGTCGTATAGTTATGAAACGCACTGTATAAAGCTGAATGTCTGTTTGTCTGTCTGTCTGTCTGTCTGTAAGTCTGTCTGTCTGTACGTATGTTCCGAATAGAAAATTCCATTTCTGAACCGATCCGGACCAAACTTGGCACACATACACTTCGGGCCCCGGCGGGTGCCATAGGCTACTTTTCGTCATCGTTCGATATCGATTTTATCGATTTTTTTGCAAAATTGGAGCTACGGGGCTGGGAGTCGGCACAGGGGGGTAATCGAGCATGCTGATTACGAATATAATAATGACAGGGCCGGGCGGAGCCGGGTAAGTCAACTAGTACGTTATACTACAAAGTCCTCACCGCCGAAGCTCGCCGCCACAGTCGGCGAGCTCGCTTACGGTATTTTGCACCCATTTTGCACCGGTACGCATGAGCCATGGGGCAATCGACGTTGCCTCGTCCATCTTCGTCGCGTCGCGACGTCGCGCCAGATGTCGCTTTATAAAAAGTTACATGAAAACACTTAGAAAAATACTCTTCCAGATTTTAAGTGCGGCATCGTACGTTACACCGCGATAAGGTGTTACAGGAAAAACTTGCTCGCTTTTTCCCAAGTGCTTGATTCATTCGTTTTATTTTCAAAAAAAAAAGAAACAAAAGACTCGTTTGACTCCTAAACTGCAAGGTGTGACCTTGGCCCATGGAAGCTGAGATTAGT